TTCCCCTTACAGAACCAAAAGCCTTGATAAAGTAAAGACAAGACAGTATTACTTTGATTTCTTTTTCCAGTCAACCAACTCTGTCACTCAATATTAGGAGATTAGATAAATCAGAAAGAGCAGTTTTCATTGTAAAGCACTGTTGGTTGGCATTCAGTAGTCTGTTGTTTTAAAAATGTTTATTGATTGGTTTGATTACTGCTTTCAGGTATATGATTCAGTTCACCTAGTTGCATTTATTGTGTTTTAACGTGCTTTCACCCTGGTTGAGTTTCTTGACAAAAGTATTATATAATTTCTTCTTATAAAAGTTGAAGTACTTTTAAAATTTTCTTATGAAGTTACATTTATGGAACACCGGGCAAGAAAACACTAACTATATTTTTTATATTTCAAACTTAACGATCTTAATGAAATAAAACTACCCTTTCAATGTCTTTCTTTATTCCAAGCAGTATCAGTGTGCAAACATGTATTTCTTTCTTTACAATCAAGGTGTGCTATTGTCTGGTGTTCTTCTGTATATCATCTCATATTTTCCTTTGTGGCTAGGTGGTATTTCATAGTTTTTAAGAAGCTATGTAAGCAAGCATGTTTTCAAAGATGCACTATGCCCACTGAATAATAAACTCCTTCACTAATTTTATTAGTAGAAAAATATGCAGATTTCATCTTCAGTTTTCTGAAGATGGCCACAGCAGTATATATGTCATTCCACCTGGTCATCTTATGGTATGATTCTGCTATTCTTCTACTGAGTGGTGGCAGTTTAGGTTCCCTCCCCTTGAACTGAGACAAACCTTTGTGACTGCCTTAATTAACAAAGTCACGGGAGTGAGCCTGTTACATAAAAGGCAATGTGGCTTTGACCTGCTTCTCTCTGTCTCTGTCTCTCCCTGCACTTGCTTTTGGAACCCAGCCACCATGTTGTGAGGAAGCCCAAAACAGGAGAGAACACATATGAAAATCCCAACTGACAGTCTCATCTAAGATTCCAGCTAACAGCCCACATCAACCACTAGATAAGCCTTCAGAGCAGATCCCTATAGGACTTTCTGTGATCATGGAAATTTCCTGTTTGTTCTAATATGATAACATACCAAACACGAATGTGAGGGAGTAAATTTAAATTTCATTTAACTTTAGATCATTTAAATTTAAAAACTACATCTGGCTAATGGTTGCCACATGAGATAGTTTAGCTTCCCAGACTTTGAGTCTTCCAGCTGAAGCAACATCATGGAGCAGAAACAGACCATTCCCACTGTGTTCTCTCTATATTCCCAGCTCTTGTAAACCGAGAGAGATAATAAATAAATATGGTTTGTTTAAGTCACTCACTTTGGAGTTAGTGTGACACAGCAATCAATAACAAATACACACTTTCTATAGTTTTTTTCCCTTATGTTTGTTTTTTTGTTCTCTATAGCAAATAAAAGTGCACACATCTCTTCCATATTTTAGAAACCCTCTGGCTATGGTTACGTGTCCCTTCTTTTTCCAGCCAGCTTTTAAATGAGTCGTTGGCACTTACCGTCTTTACTTACAACTTCTTCATTAGTCAACCCTCACTAGGCTCTGGAAACAAATGAAGTCACAGTGACATTAGTTCAAGCTTGTTTCTCCCACTTGGAAAGTGCAGGACTTCAGTACCCCACCCTGCACTCATGCTCTCACCTACTTATTTCTGAGCCAAGCCCACTTTGGCATAAAAAACACCCCCCTCCTGGCTGAGAAATTACAAAATCCAAAAACCAAACAAACAAACAAAACAACTTTTTTTCTTTTTTTTGACCAGATTAGAAAAAGATAGCCCTTTTAGAAAAAGACTCTTCTTCTGGAGAGCTGATGCCGTCCTCAGCCAGGGCCCATGGCTTGACAAGCGGAATGCGGGCTGGGTGTCAGCCCCTCCTTGCTCCCCTCAGTCAGGTGTCCTGTGCAGGGTGCCAGCAGCAAAAGCGGTGTGACCCTATGCAGTAGCTGTGCTTCTGGGATGCTCAGAGCCTTCTTACATGAGTCCATAACTTTCCTCTCATGGGTGACTGGTCTTCTTGCGGATGCCTCTGGCCCATGAAATCTTCTGAGGGTGGCATCTTGTGAAGCACCCTGGATGTTGACACCCTTTCCAGCCCAGAGTGCTCTGCAAACTGCCGAATTCTTAGGATCCTGGAACAGCGCCGTTTTCTCACTCCTTCCTGCACCAGAGCTGTTCCATGATCCTCAATGAAACATGGAGAATGACCTGTCTGCCCTGCCATGCAGAACAAGGGCTACCATGAAAACAGCTCTTCCTCCTGGCATCCTTGTCTACTTCTCTTCACAGGGTTCAGGATCAATCAGAGGACATGACCAGGACCAGAAAACAATGCAGCCCTCTCTAGGTACACCCTCTTTCCTTTCTGCACAACTCCTACTATCAATGCACAGATCTCCCTTTCACCACCCCTTTTCCCTTCATGAAAGTAGCTTGCTGCCAGTCATCAGATGATGTCATCTGGGGAATCCCGAAGTAACTTTATGAGAGCAAAATATCCTAGACCATACTGCCTCTATTACAAAAGGGAGGACATATTTGCAGGACACCAGGTCTCCAGAAGTGGAATAGATTACCTTCGCTCTTCCTTGTGCTCTGAAGGGCTGTTTTCGGTCTCAGAAGGCCTGAAACATGGCAAACATGCTATACCCGAAGACATCCAAAAATTAAGTAGGATATATCAGGATTTGACTATAGTAGACCCTTGAATGTCGCTGGGGTTAGGAACACCGGCCCCCTTACAGTTGAAAATCTATGTATGACTTTTGACTCCCCTAAGGCTTAACTATTAATAGCTTACTATTGATCAAAAGTCATACCGATAACATGAACAGCTGATGAACACGTATTTTATGTTATACAATGATGTCTGTCCAGAAAGTATCCAGCCATGTACTACGAGAGAGACAGTTAATGAAGAAATACAAGATACAAGAAACATTGTACATAGGACAATGATGCCTCAGGCCCCTTCAAAGTAGGCACCTTGGCACCTCACATAATTCTTCTAATTACCATCAGCAGCCCTGTTGTATTTTCCTGAATCTTATCAGACCATCTGAAATCTTTTCCCTTTCCAAGATGATTTTAGTTTTGGGAAAAGCCAGAAGTCACAGGGCACCAAATCTGGTCTGTAGGGGAGCTGAGTCACCTGAGTGATTTGATGTTTCGTCAAAGAACTCTGCAAGATGTGATGCCTGAGTGGGCGCATTGTGATGAATCTGCTAATCACCAGTTGCCCATAGCTGCGGCCTTTTTAATCATCTGAATACTTTCTGTGAAGGAATGTTCAAGCTTCATGAAAAATTGGTTGCAGATTTGTTGCTTTACTCAGTCATTTTGAGTGCAACAGCCACACAATGCACGTTTACTCAACGGCATCTACCACCCCCACTGACTAGTATAGTGAAGTTGTCATTGTTTATTCATGTACATTCCAGTCCACTCTTGACTGTTAGGTTACAACGATGTCACATAAACCGTTCTCGTTATATTAACAATGGCTGGACTTTTTCTGGACAGGCCTTGTGTATTATTTACTGTAGTCTACCAGTAAAGTAAGCTAGAGAAAATGTTATTAAGAAAATCATAAAGTCTATCTGAGAATTTTTTCAAATTGTCACAAATCTGCAAAAAATTTTCCAATATATTTCTTTTTTAAAAAATATCTGCAAATGAGTGGGCCCAAGCAGTTCTAACCTTATTGTTCAAGAGTCAACTATTGTTGCAGTTCACATTGGGAGTAGGTACATGGTTCAATATGTGATACAGTGCTGTCCAGAAAGAAAGGTCCAATTTATAATGAGGGGCTCCAAAATATTTAGAAGATTCCAAAGTAGTACTAATTTTGTTACTGTATGACTGTAGTAAAAGTATTATGAATTCTTGTAACTAAATCCAAATTTTGCAAAAAAATATACCACACAATTTTTCCCCCCTACTTATCAGTTTTGGAACACAAACTTAATAAATTCATTGGTTATTAATTAGGTAATAAGCTTTTATATTTTTGGTCTAGGTTGAATAGACTCAGTGGTATTAAATAGACTAGATTTTGCAAGAGAAAAAGGAAATGCTATTTTTCCCAAGATGACATTCTTGGATAGCACTTTCAAAATATTATCTGATAGAAAAATATTCCAAGAATGATTAAAGTTCTTGTGTATTTAATGAATTTTTCTTTTCAGCATTAACTAGTGCAAGTCCTCAAAATCTGTGTAGTTTCCTTTTTAGTTTGAGTAAATATAAAGTCCTCAAAAATGATACTGATGGTTACTAAAATTCAAAATTTTAAGGAAAATATTTTAATAAATCATACTTTATGGATAATTTTATATTTAAAATCAAATGTGTCTAGATTATTTTAGGTCTTCTAATACAAACGTGGCATAATAAAAATTATGTTTAGAACATTAATTCTCATAGATTAAGAAATAGCCCAGTTAGAATTATCAGTCCATAATTTCAATCCTGGTTGTTCATACAACAAAGCTACAAGGAATTCCCGTTGCTGGTTTCCCCCTGAGGATATCTGGGTGTGGTTTATTTTCTTCTCTGGCTAGAACAAAATATGCAGGAAAATCCTCTTTGACAACTAAAATTCCTTGTTCTTACAAACAAACTTAAGGAGCAAAAGAAGCAGCAGATCAAGTCTGGTTTAATCGTTTGCTTATACTGGTGCATATATTGGATTTTTTCCAGGTTAACAAAAATAAAGCCACAGGGAAGATATATGCAGTAGTATATTTAAGCTACCAGCTCACACACATTTTAATGGCTGAAAGTATATAAAAATATGAAGGCGGAAGAAAAACAGTAAGCAGTTATGAAACATAACATGGTTTCTTATTCTTTATTAGTTTAAAGGAAGCTAGAACCTGATAATAATATGCCACATACCGTTCAGAACCAAACAAAGGCTGCTGAGTTATTTATTTTGCATTTGCTCCATTTAGGAAGTGAGGAAAAAAACAGCTCTATCAGCATTCAAGTTTATTTTCAATTAAAATCCCCATAAATTATAAAACATCTCATAAAACAGGGAAAATGGAAAGAACATTATTCAGAAAAAGTATGCTTTTTTTTTGTTTTTCTTGATAGTGCCTTTGACTGTGTGATCAGTCTAATAAGGCCACTTAAAATAATAATTCAACCTCTGTATTCCTGTTTAGGATAACGCATAATAATGGTTTTTCCTTTGGTGCAAATAAGAGGAAAAATTTATTCTTAGTTCTGAGCATTGAAAACACTCGCCCCTCCCCCAAATCCTGCCATTTGTTCATGTCCCACATGAATAAAAGGATGCCACTTAGAAACCAGGGCCTTGCTGCCATTGTATTTTTCCTAATTAAAATTCAGAATATTAAGCACAGTTGAGTACATCCATGCATCCATGACATACCGTTATCGCATACCGGAAGCTCCAATCAAGGGCACTAAGCAAGGCTCATTTCATAACATCATTAACATTCATTGTATGCCGTGGTTCAAAAAGGCTTTGTCAAAGCAGATAATAACAGCCTGTCAGAAAAGCCCAAACAGAACTTTATATTAAATTGTCCTTTCTCTCCTTTTTCAGTATGGGAATCTAGTTATTTTTCCAGTACATGGACTCAGAGCTGAACTTAAAAGGCTTCCAGTTTCTTAAGATTGCAAAATATTACCTAATTAGGGCATATTAAAAAAAAGTTAAGTGAGAAGTATCTGAGTAGCCAGGTGGGGGTAAGGTATTCAAGCACAATGTCTGTATCAAAACAAAAGGAGGTGTAGCAGGAGTGTGAAGGGAGATAGAACTTGTGAGTCGCAGGTGGAGTGTTCAGTTTGGAACAAGAGAAATAAAAACATTGCTTCCTTTTTCTTAAGCACTTTTGATATTCTTTGTGTTGTAATCTCAGAAAAGGAAGATCTCTCATTAAAACATTTTTTTTTTCCTTTTCTATTCTGCTGAGTGAAAACGCCCGGGGAGACAAACTTTACACGGTGGCTTCCTGAGTGTAGTTCTAAGTATGATGTTATCTGGAGATTTGAGGTTGAGAATTTACTTCTTTAGACTCGATATTTTTCTTTGCCATTCTCATTGATCACGCATATGTGCTGAAACAATAAAGAATTAAATAATGCATCCATTTCTTAACAAAATACGAGGTGCAGAAAATGTTATTCAGTAATAACAGGCTATCACCTTATAATTAGTTACTCTTGATTTAAATAAATATATTTATTTATGTGTGTATATGTGTGTGTGTGCAAAATCTAAAGAGACCCACTCAAATTCTTGACAAAAATTTCTTCATTGTTTTAGGTTTGAGCCCTTTTCTGAATTTGGCTCCCTATGTCTATAACAATCAGAAATTCTGAGGTTAGCTGTGACAGAGATAGAGTCTACTGGTAAAATTACAGTCTCTAGGATGAACGGAGAAACTGTCATAATAAAAATAATATTGACTCTTATTCGACCCTTTGAGGGTAGCAAAAAATGTGTCATGACTATTATGACTATTTTGATTGTAAGCAACAGAAAAGAAGTCAGGCTAGCATAAGCAAAATAGGGGATTTATTGGAGAGATACTGGAATAGCTCATAGAATCAAAGAAAGGGCTGAGCAATGAAGGAGCCGGAAGACAGAAACAGGGATAGCTCCAGACCTCAGCCCATTGCTTGCCCCTTGGTCTCTGCAATTTTGCTTCAAGTTTCTAATTCTTAGGAGAGAGGCTGGTTGGTCTATTTTGGATAAGATATCTACTTTTAGATCATTCAGTAATGGTCAGGGTCACACATCTGGGGGGTCCATGTCTATATATTAAAACCACTGCTCTTACCCTGGCCGGGCAGCTCAGTTGGTTAGAGCATCATCCCGATATGCCACATTTTTGGGTTTGATCTCTGGTCAGGGCACATGCAAGAAGCAACCAATGAATGCTCAAATAAGAAGAATAACAAATCAACCCCTCTCTCTCTCTCTCTTTCTCTCCTCTCCTCAACCCCCAAATTGGGAAAAGTTATGAGCTGGCTGCATGTGACTCTAACTGGTATCTGCTGAATTTCAAGCACTGACACAAAACAGTTCATAGAATATTGACTATTACTATGGGTGGGTAGGCATAGTCAATGACTTGGAGAAAATCAATATCAATAGTTCTGCTTTTAGCTCTCTTATTTCTTTAGTATAAAATAGAGAGAAACAAAAAGAAACAACAAAAAATACAAAAAATAAATAAATTAGAAATAATCATAATTGTTTCTATCGCCCTAATCCCTACCTTGCAGGGTAGTAGGGGGAATGAATTGAGTTTATGCATGTGAAGTACCCAGAATATTCCTGACATAGAAGTTACTCAATAAATGGCAGCCATTATTACCCCTATTTCAATAATTGCTTAAATTGATGGAACTGTCAAGTTCTTGTAAATGGAGAGGAGGTAGGGATTCGCATGCAAGACTTACATTGAGATCTCTGAAGTATTCATTGTAATCTAAGGCATAACCCACCACAAATAAGTTTGGAATCTCAAATCCAGCATCTGAGCAAAGAGAGAAAGGGGAAAAAAAAAAAGACACAAAATTAGGTAAGATAAGGATCAAGCCACCATATGCTAATGGTGACACTTCAATGTTAAGAACTTTTCATTTAGGCAGAAGCAAGTGAGGAAAGTGATAAACAATGCATAGGATGAGCCTAGCAGGAACCTGGGCCTGAAACCTTGTACTTACGGAGACAAGGCAAACAATATACAATGAAAAAATGACTGTATTCCTGATATCCAGAGCTAAGAAAGGCTGCAGGCAGCCCAGTGGAGAGTTAGATGTATGCCTGAGTTAGTCATGTAGCTCTGTTGTTCCAAAGCAGTATCCAAAGTTATGATGCCAAAGGAAATACTTGGAAAGCACAAAGTGCAGTTCACACGGAAGGTATGATGATGCTCCAACACATGCATAGGTGTGCAGGCTGTTGCAACCGAGAGGCTGCCTTCTCACTATACTCAGTATCCTTGGTGGGATAAAGGGCTTAGAAGCAAAACTTGGGAGGCAGTATGAAAGGAAATGGGGTGGTTGAGCTTGAGGAAGAGAATGATGTTGACAGTAATTAGCTGTTTATCTCTATTAAGGGCAGAAGAAGAAATGGATTAAAATGCAGTAGGAGGTACTTAAGTTAAGCAAAAGATGAATTTATTGACAGGACGATGATTTTTATTGAAAATGATACTTAAGGAACGACCACAGTTCTCCTTTTTTGAGGGTCTTGAAACAGAATAAATGTGCTTATGGTCCAGTCCGATGACTTTTCAAACTCCTTCCAGTTCTTTGGAATCTGTTTGTTTATCATAGTATTGCAGGTGAGGATGTACTTGCTTACTCTTATGAAACTGTACTTTGGTGCAGCCAGTGGAAAGTTACTATGGTACAGCACAGAGAAAGTTGCCTCCACAGTACTGCCCCCACCATTTTGATCCCTACAACCAAAAAAGGTGCTTTCACAGGCAGAAACCAACTGGTCCCTGCTCACTGGATATGAGAGCAGGGAGAAACTTACTTTCTGGGGGATGACATTATGTGTCATTGTCAGGAAGCCCACTTGAATCTCCAAATTGTAGATTCTTGAGAAAAATAGTCAGAGGATGTGGATGAGCAGAAGAAAAGATATCATTGAGCACAGAGGAAACAGTTCATTAGGAGAAAGGAACAAAACTTACAAAGTCTCAGAAATCCACGAAGAAAGAAGAAACAGAGATTCTGAGCTAGATAAATGTTAGTAACCCCCACGAAACGTTAGCTGTAATAGTAAGAATGACTTTAGAGTGAGCAATGCAGACCCTAAAATAGGTGAGGCAACTCAGACCGGGAGAAGCCAGTTGGGAAAGCCAAACCTGCAGAGCTGTCACGGGATTAAAGGAAGACTTGGGAGAGAAGGATGGGAAACAGAGTGACCTATCCGTAGCTGGTAAATGGGTGCAATTTCCACTCATGTCCACAATTGCAGATGTGCAAGCACAAGAGCAGTGATTGAAACCAGACTGACTCGACACTTAGAGCTATGTGACTTGGCAAGCTATTTAACCTAGTTATAGTCAAGTTCCTTGTCTGTAAAGTGGGCAAAACAATAGCACCTACCTTAGAGGATTAAATATGTTAACCTCTTTGTAGCTCTTAGAACAGTGTTGGGGCACTTCATAACCTCTTACTAGTGTTTGCTGTTACTACTTTATTAATGTCATTGGTATAAGTGACACAAGAAATTGATAATTAACTGGATTCTGAAGTGAATGTCTTTCAGTTTCAGTTAAAACCTTTTCTATAGTGTCTTACATTATTTTCTTAGATTTCTGTTTACTAACCTTGTCCAACTTTAACTACATCCAGATTATATTTTCCGAGCCAGTAATTGGATAGAAACAAACTATTGGGTCTACTTGCCCAGAACTGACATTGTCTAGATTTAATATATCCTGCATAGGAATGAAACTTGTTTTGCAGAAGAGAGTCACTGGCTAAACATCACTGGCACATTACCCATCCATATAGCATGTTTCTCTTGCTATAATGTTTGTTCAGCTTGCTAATTAGAACTGTAGCCAAATTATCTGAGAGGCTTTAGAGCAAATGTAAGTTATAAAAATCAAGCTGAAGTCTGCCTATGCAAGTGAAAAAAAAATCACCTTTAGTGTTAGAATAATAAATAATCAAGCTCCTTGTTTATCCTTCTGTCCTAGATGAGAACGTCTTCCAGAACACATGCCTGAGGGCAAGTGTAAAGATAGCATCTATAGATATTTGTTCTGCTAATTCTGTTATTGTCTTGTTTCTGTGAAGTTATATTTTATTTTATTTTTTTATTTGTTTAATTGAATTACAGTTGACATACAATATTATATTAGTTTCAGGTGTACAACATAGTGGTTTGATGTTTTTATACATTACAAAATGAATAAAAGAAGTCTAGTTACCATCTGTCATCATACAAAGTTATTACAATATTGACTATCTTCCCTATGCTGCGCATTTAATTCTTTGTATTATTGAACTTTTGTTTAGAGGTGCTGGGGGGATTTTCCCCACTATGTGCTAAAATTCAGGCTCACTGAAGGTCAGCATGGTGCATTGTTTGGTAACAGTTTCTGGGTATGGTGTGAGAATGCCTCTGAGCCTTTATAACTACCTCTCCATGTATGGTTGGCGGGGACAGTGGCAAAGGCAGGAATCCCGTGTACCTGAGTCAGTCTGGAGAGGTCAAGTCTCCCTCGACCTCCTGAAACCTATTATTTGAGTTCTTTGGAGTTAAGGTATGATGGAAAACCTAAAAATCAAAATATTCATGCACATGACTACCTGTGAAAGAGGCAGATTAGAAAATTTAAGCCCCTTGTTATAAAGAGTTCTAACCTCACTAGCAAGGCTGAGGACACCAGGAGGAATCTGTGGGTCTGTCAAACCTATTCAGCTTCCACTTCACACAGAATGCTGTCAAATAGGAATTTCTTAAGCACAAACCACCACCACCAATCAACGCATTAACAAACAAAAACGAAAAACACTTACAGTCAGGTCTAAAGCCATCACTTCTAGGTGTTCTCTTCACCAACAAACTACCATTAAAAAAAAAAAAAAGCTTTAGTGATCCAAATAAAATCTCTGTGAATTGCAAATTGAATTGAACATCATTGAAATATGTATTTAAAATATGTATTTTTCCCCTTGAGCATATGGTGCATCATCATAGTCCCCGCAACTCATGCTTCAGCTGCTGCGCACCACCTCAGTGATTCTCCACGAAAGCAAGGAAGGGGCACTGATACTAGGGCCCAGCCAGCCGTTCCTGGAAACAGCTAGAGGCACGGTGAAGCGGGGCTCAGCCACAGCAAAGCATGTCCTCTTCCCTTTCTTCTTTCAAGCCAGCAGTCAAATGGGCTATGTGTACTGTGTGTTCAAACCATAACACCCCAGAGTGAAAGGTCACTGGTTTGGGACAGACTATACTCTGAAAACAGCATCCTGTGTTAACACCCTTCGTGGACTGGTTTGGAAAGACAGAAACAAGATGCATATCCTACTCACCTGGCCACCTTAACCATGTTGGGCTTGTATTTCTCTATGCTGCTGAGCAGCTCTTTCATGGTCCTCCCCGTCCCAACAACATCCTTTGCAAAGAGAACAGACAAATTCAACCAAATACATTTGGGTAGCATAATAGATTTTTCATTCAGACAGATAATTATATTCCTTATTAATAATGTATCGTAATTAGAATTGAGATCAACTTGGAGTCAAAGTAGGAGGCAGAATTTGTTCCGTTTTTTAGACAGGTGCTTCCTTTTGGGACCTGGGTTTCGGGAAATATATTGGTGAGTATTTCCTCAAATCCTTGAGCAGGGTTTAAAGGCTAAATTCAGCCTTTGGAGAGCATGTGGGGTTCTTCACTGAGTACATTTGGACTCGCTCACATGCATTCAAGGACTACATTTGGCCCTGAGGTTATGTAACAATACAGGACGCATGAATTTTCATGGACATGGGATGTACATCTGAATACACTGAAAGGATAAATGCCTCCCCCTTGCCCTCCCCACTCAATAGGGGATTCTATGGCTGGGAAGTGAGATGTGTCTGGACAGCAGCTGGTGACAGCCCTTGAATTCTGAGGGTGTGAGCCTGCAGTGAGCTAAGGCTCATCTCTGCTGATGAGCTGCTGCGCAATTAGAGTAGAATGGGCAGCAGAAATTTATTGTCCTCAGGACAGAAATCAGCTGTCAGGAGTTGATTATCAAAACAAGAGGTCTGAATGTAGCCTGAGTTGGGCAATTCATTTGGTTAGAGAGTCTACTTCATGGATTATGTCTGAGCCAGAACTGCAGATACATATGGCACACAGGCAATTGTGTAACAAAAGCTTGAAAACAGCTCCCCTGAATTCATGCCAGCTGATAAGACAGGTGTGCTCTTGAAGGAAACATAGGCATGTGCTGTATTAGTCCACTGTGGCCATGGGCGTTTTTTTTTCTCTCCCTCCCTCCCTCACTTCTTTTCTCCTTTTCTTTTTCTGTCCCCCTTCCTTCCTTTCTCCCTGTCTTCCTTCCTTTTTAAACAGAGCCAGTTAAATCAATTCACAGCTTTCTTTTGGACTCCTATTTTAAACTTGATCATGATTTGGATGCTGAAGGCAGAATTGCTTATAGTCATTAAAGTTCATTAACAAGAACATTGAGTTAAGGGTGAAGTGAGTTCTAACCTTGTCTTAACTATTAAATGAATTTGGTTTTGTGGGTTAGTTTTCTTTTTTGTAAAAATGTCTGATTCACAAATAGGGATAATAACCAATTTAGACATCTGTGAAATTAAATATTAAAAAGATTTTTTATAAGTTATTTCAAGTCAGTGATTCTAGCTGGCTGCCAGTCAATAAATTTGGAGAGCCGTATGCACAGAGGGAATTCAATAAGTCATTTACCAATTAGATAAAAAGTTCTTTATTTTAAAACTCACCATTCATCATTTCAACTTCCAATATGGATTTAAAAAGTCAGCTTACCTCAACAATGAGGACATTCTGAAAAAAAAAAAGAAAAACAACAAACCAAAACAAATAAACAAAAATACCAGTTATTTAGAATCCAACGCAAATCTGGCTCACAAGTTAAACACACATTTTGCTTACTGTTGGAATTTTGCAGTTTGTTTACCTGGTCCTCCTCATCCATCTAACCCAAATAAACACTTAGAGATAATCTATGTGTTCCAGACTCATTTTAACTCCAGTCTCTCTGGATTTACTTGGTGCTTCAATATTTATTAATATGTATATTCATGTTAAGAGCAGGCTTATCTTAGACCCTGCTGCCTGTCTGAAGAGCACCCATAGTCACCCCACCTTCATAATTCTGGCAAGGGCCCCGCCCAGCATTCTCTGGGGTACAAAGCTTACTTTGCATTTTCCATGAAAACAAAGCCAACATGAACTGCATTGCTAATAGAGACAGTGCTCTGTAGAGGTGTCAAGTATTCAGCTGGGACAGCCCTATTCCTGCATCGCCACCGACATCACCGGGGATTCCATTCTTTTGGAGTGTCAATTCTGAGGAAGGTGGGTGGAATAGATAGGTCCCTAGTTTATATTTTCAGAGACGTGGTTAAGTTCCTGGCTATGTGCTCTTAAGATATTCATTGCCTTCTTCCCTAAGAACACTGGTTATGTTTCATTTAAATTTCTTGTTTGATACCTGTCTTCCCCATTAGAGTATAAAGTCCATGAGGGTGGGAGTCATGTTTATCCTGCTTATTACTGTACTCTCAGTCTTGAGCATAAATATCTGTATATCGGTACTAAGCAATTATTTGTTGAATGAAGGAATAATAACTAATTATACTTGTTAATGAGTTAAAATCAACCAATTAAATGGATTAGTAGTTACATGTCAATACTGTCCCACCAAATTAAAATATGGCTGTGCTAATACGCCATTCCAATTAACTAAATGGTGTGGATATTCCCTCAGTGTAATGGTTTCTTTCTCTAGATGACCTTTCATTTATCCTAATGATTCATATCACAGTTTAAAAATTGGATCAAGCCTTAACCCTTAGGTATCTTGCTTATAGCTAACGCAAAAAGAGATTTCAGTGAGAAAAATGTTAACCAACCAATAAAAACTACGTTCAATTTGCACCGTATTACTTTAGGTGTCAAAAGCATTTTGAGGTGAAATTCTTTCTGGAAATGTTTTTCTCTCAGGTATATTTAATTCATTAAATCCATTTTTAAGACTCTTAATTTTGTCATTAAAATGTAAGATAATTTTGTCAATTTTTAAAGTAGGACATGTTCCCAGGATGCTCTCTGTCCTGAAAATCATACTCACATAGGAGTGTCCCCTTGGTATTCTAAGCACATTCACTCTGATCTTAACAACCAACCAGTTAAGATGCGCATTTTTAGTTTAATTGAGACTTACCAACCATGTCTATTAACCATCCAGAAGAGGTGGAGAATACTTGGTTAATTTAATTTCTAGTTCACAGTCTCTTTTTGTTTTAATCTGATAGTCTGCATTCTTTCCTAATTAAGTAAAGTGGACTGAATGTAATTAAATCTGTTTTTTGAAAGTTCAGAACATTACAAAACAAGTCATCTTTGAAAAGGTTAGCTTCAACTATAAGATATAGTGGTGGCTGGAAAGTGAACTTGTATGTGTACTAATCCAGAGATATATTGTCAAAATTACTTAAACACATTTTAACTCCTAGGAATACACACACATGCTCAAAACCGAATAGGAAAGTCTGTTTTCTAACTGTTGAGGGATCCCTTTTAAAAATATTTTAAAATGCTTATGTACTTTAAAATAGATCAAAGTTATCATGAGAGTCTTTACTATGCATAGCTAAATATTACCACATTTAACAAAAATGGCAATTTCTTAATATCTTATATACCTTAGTACATATGTAACTTTCCCCAGTTGTTGCTGAAGTAGAGTTTGTAGCTTGTTTGTCAATCTAAGACAATGTGTTGGATTTTTAATTCTCTTTAATTTAGAATAGTCTCTTTTTCTGTACTTCTATTTCTCAATTTAATAATTTTAGACATCACTTATTTACTTATTATGTAATAGATAAGAATTTAGTTGTTTCACACCAACTCACATCCTTTCCCCATCCCTCAATGCAGTTACTTTGTTACGACTATCTTCTTTTTTAAAAAAAATTTTTATTCCTTACCTGAAGATGTTTTTTCATTGCTTTTTATTTTTTTAATTTTTAAAAAAGATTTTATTTATTTTTAGAGAGAGGGGAAGTGAGGGAGAAAGAAAAGGAGGGAAACATTGATGTGTTACCTTTCACACACCCCCAACTGGGGACCTGGCCTGCAACCTCGGCCTGTGCCCTGACTGGGAATTGGACCGGCGACCTTTGTGTTTGCAGGCCGGCACTCAGCCCACTGAGCCGCATCAGCCAGGCTTTCACCGCTTTTTAGACAGAGAGAGGAAGGAAGAGAGAGAGAGCCTGGACTAGGGATCATGTGCACCTAGACTGGGGACCACAACTGCAATTTGGGCATGTGCCCTGACTGGGAACCAAACCTTCAACCTTTTGGTTACCGGACGATACTCCAGCCAACGGAGCCACACCAGCCAGGGCCTGACTCCTTTTGTGATGCTAACATTTTTCCCAATAAAGAGTCAAACAGTATACCATACTTATATCTCCTTTTAGACCTTGTTTATACTTTTCTTGGAATTCTTAATTGGTTTTTCTATCATTTTCCAGTGTCTTATGCAGAAATAATCTTTTTTTTTTTTTTTAAAGCAAGCTTTTCTTTCTTGGAAGGGCTATTATGAGGAAAACATTGGTTAGTTATGGTATAAATATATTTCTCAGAAGATTTTGGAGGATTAAGGAATGGGTTGATAATATCTGTAACAATTGAGACACCTGTTATGTACAGTATTGTACAGTATTAAAAAGTAAAATTATTTGGTGGTTCGTAAATGATGGGTAGAGAATGATGATATAGACAAACTGGCTGCTATTAAAAAGGAACTATAGATATATCTAGAGTTACTTAGTGAGGTATATAGAGCAGTCATTACATATATATTTATTTTCCTTTACACATCATCACACTATGCTTGCAAATTCTTTCATTAGTAATATACGCCACTATCTGGATTTTTCAGTGGCCTACATGTTACGTGAAAAGCTCACCTCTAACCAAAGCAATGCTTTTCGCCCCTTTGGAAGCTTCACTGTCATTTGAAACAAGATGTAGCCCCATAGAAGGAGAAGGAGGAGAGGGAACGCAACTTCTCCAACTTGGAAGCATTTTCACAAGTGTCTAAAAGAACTAATCTCTTTTCATTTTCGTGTACCAAGATTAACTCCACAAGATGAGGAACAAAGGCTAACTCATCTTTAAATGACCTATATATAACATGGAGACGGGTATACAGTAGTTGCTCAAGAAATATCTGTGAAATAAATCAACAATTTTGACCCAATTTTTTTACTTTCTTTAGATCATTATACTATTGATACCTTTATTTCCTTAATGATGTATAACGCCTCCTTAATTGAGCTATACTTAATGTCTACTGCTTTTAATTTGGCTCTGAGAAATCTAAAATTCTCTCTCTCTCTTTCTTTTTTTGAGTGGGCAGCCTTGGAAATTTCTTCAGAACACATTGTGCCTCCTAAACACTCGCAATCTGATAACTCTGATCACTGACTCTGAGATGTTCGCCAGCTTCTGTCTTAGTCATCTCATTACACCTAGCTCACTTCCTCCCAGAAAGCCAGTAAAATCCGCAGCCTGGGGGCCACTGGCAAAATTCTATGTGGAACCTCTGAAGTGTGTTTTTTCTCTGCTATTGCACATCCTAATCGAAGCTAACCATATCAAGCTTACTAAAAAAAAAAAGAAAGAGAAGGAAAGAATTATACAAATCTAAATAGTTTTTGTAAATAGGCTATTCCTACTTATACTCTGTCAAACCACAAAATGATTAGCGTATCACAGTCTACTCCTCAGCAGCAGTGTTTGGGCTGTGGTCACACCAAGCAGAGGGCTGGCAGTGGGGTGAGGAGCTGATTGTGGATGCAGAGCATGAGTAGGAGTGTGAATATAAACCCCATGGAGAAAGGAATGTAGTTTAGCATTTCATTTTATGTAATAATTCACAAAATTGCCAGAATCATCAGTCGGTGGGCATTTCTCTTATTTTTCCCAGCCTAGTCAGATGCAATAAAAAGGAATGATTTCAAGAGTAAAGGCAGCCAAGTAGGAAATTTTGGCAAGTTCCAATGTTTCATTCTGGCATTTGATTAGAAACTTATTTGGGGATGTGGGGGGCATGTCTCCCAAATCTTGTACTTAACCTGCACATCTGTGTTTTCTTGTTGCCAGATTTGAGCTTGTTTCCATGCATTTGGTTTTATTCCACCCTTTCTGAGATTTCGCTTGAACATGAATAAAATCTTGCTTTACACAAATTTTATGAAGTGCCAGGATTAAATTAACTTTGAAAAAAAATCAGCCAGGGAGCATGGTGCAGAGACAGCTTAAACTCACCGAGTAAAATGCTTTTAACATTGTGAGTGAAGAGGCCATTTAACTTCATCATTGAGGGCTCCCTTTATTCAACAGCCATGACCTATTTAGAACCATGACTCAGGCAGCCTCCCTTGTGAGCTTCTCTCTCTGTGCTTAAAAAAAAAAAAAGAAAGAAAGAAAGAAAAGGAAAAAAGGAGGAAGAATGAAAGACGGAAGAAAGAAAGAGAGGGAGGAAGGAAAGAAGGAAGAAAGGTGCATGGGGGCTGTCTAGAGTTTCCCTCTTTTAAATTTTTTAAGTCACATGTGTTTAGAGGGTTTAAGAGTTACATAGGACAGTTAACGAGGATCATAATGCCTCTAACTCATAGCATGGAAAAATTACACAGGTAAGCTATTTTCCCATGTTTTTAAAGTTCTTTCAAAACCAAATTTGAAAACCTCCTTTCTAACCCTACTGCCTTCATTTAATCATTTAACTCTGCCACTGCTCTTTGGAGGGC